TGAATGGGCTGGCAGACAGGCATCTCCTGTGAAGAGCACAGGACGTGTTTGTTTGTCATTCTGAAGTCAACCACCATATTTGTTGTGGATAGTAGGACATATTTGTAGAGGGTTGCATAATAACCACAAGCACATGATTTATTATTCACACACACACACACACACACACACACACACACACACACACACACACACACACACACACACACACACACACACACACAATTTCTTTGTATAAAACAGTACCTATTTGCTTTAGAATTGTAGGCTCATTTAAGGATGAATAAAAAATGCTAACAAATCCTTTTATAAATAAGTAAATTGTTTAATTTAAATGTTCACTGTACACAGCACTTTGAAATGTATTTCATCTGAAATGATTATTGAATGTTTTTGCTACAGGCAGCTCTCAGCTAGCTGTACTTGGCAATTTCCCTTGTTACTATTTGACAAGCCAAGGTTAGAATCACTGGTCTGTCACCTGACCTGACCTTGACTGCTATTGTATGTAACTTTGTCTCTATTTTATTTTTTAAGGAAGAGGAAATGTTCCGACCAAACATGTTCTTCCTTCTGCTCCTTCCGCCCATCATCTTTGAATCGGGATACTCTTTACATAAGGTATTATTTATAGTGTCAAGATATAAAAGAAGGAATGACACGTTATGCATGTGATGTACTTAACAGTGCAAAGCAGTGTACATGTGACATAACATTGGTATTTATTTCCTATGCAAGATCAATTGGCTAACAATTACAAAAGTGAATGATATACAAATATGTAGAGAAAGAATCATAGCAACCAATAACTCACTTAAGAAATATTAACACACTCAAACGTTTAAAGTGCTTATGATTGTTGCAGCAATGGCTATGCTATGAAACTGCTCTCTTTCAGATATGCTCTGTCACAATTGTCATATATAATCATATCTGAGGTTTGAAACTCATTGGCAAATGCAAAAAGGTGGCTCCTACCATTTGATTATTTATAGATACATTCTGTTACATTATTCAAAAATGAAATTGTGTTTTTTTCTCTGTACATGTACTCTGCCCTACTTTTCATTTGACTGCTTGCCACATGTTATACACCATGTTATGTAAGTGTCATGCTACTGAAGCCTATGAATACTTGAGCTTTGTGTCCATGTATGTTCAGGGTAACTTCTTCCAGAACATTGGCTCCATCACTCTCTTTGCTGTGCTCGGCACGGCCATCTCTGCTTTCATCGTCGGAGGAGGGATCTATTTCCTTGGGCAGGTGAGGATTGTGTTTGTATCAGTCAACAACTCGGGGCCTGTTCAGAGAAAGAGTTTGAACCTTTTGACGCTAAATAAAATGTGTGTTGTTAATAGGGTGTGAAGGTGCAAATAGCTCCTAGCATCTTTACATTGTTCAGAATGTTTCTTGCTCTATGTGTTAACATACCAGAGCTCTTTGTTGCCACTCTGAAATGTGTGTCTGTGATTTTCTCAGGCTGGTGTGATCTATAAGATGTCAATGACTGATAGGTGAGTGTTAGTGTTCCCTTTCAACTTGCATTCCTTTTATAACAATAATTATAAAGTCTCTATGGATTCAACTTTTGTACTGCCAGGCTTTTAACATTAGAACATCTTTTTGTACAAATGACTTCAAAGGAAATTGGATATAGGTATTTCACAACAGCAACACCCACAGACTTGTTCAGTTCCAGGCAGCTGGATAATCCAGCTGCCAGATATGACTGTAACACACAAGCAGTGTGCCACGCCCCTCCCATGTGTTTATGTTGGATTTGTTCAATGATCGCATGTGTGTATCTTCATCGATACATAGTCAGTGTGTAACTTTGTGTCTTGGGTTCAAGCAGGGCTTTTCCATTTTCATTTCCTCTAGGAGGTTTCCAGTCCCATTTGTCTCTCTGTTTGTGTTTGTAAGCATGAAAACTGCTTAACCCATTTGAATGACATTTGTAGGGGACCCAGAACATGAGCCAAAAAATAACTGATTGGATTTTGGAAAGGGGAAGTCCCAAAATGTAAATTATTTCTGGTTTTATTCCTCTTTATTTGGAGGGGATTTTTTGTCTCAACACTGCATCTACACTTATTTTTGCCCACTCAGATTTTGTTCATTTTCTGGCATTTAACAGTAATTTAATCCAAATTGTGTGCTTGACATAAAGTCTAATTTAGTTTGTTTATTTTTTGCAGATAAATGAATAAAAAATAACAATTAAATAAAAGAAAGGAGTATTTATAATAACATGTTGTTGTTGCCATTTTACAAAGACCGCTATAACAGACAGTGTAAAGATTACATGAGACTTCCACCCTTGTACAAAGACCTAATATTCTGAGACAGGATTGAAGTATTCTCCAACATTATTGCAATTGTAAAATTAACAAATTGTAGGTCTGACCTCGCTGAGTAAAAACATGTGCTTCCTTGTTTGTGATGCATATCCTGTCTGCATCCTTCTGACCTCGTGCACTTACAGATTTTGTCCCTTTGTTGCCCATGTGTGTTTGTTTCTTAATTTTTATGTGCATGTCTTATTGCTCCTCTATAACACACTTCCACTCTCTTGCTGTAGCTTTGCCTTCGGCTCACTGATCTCAGCTGTGGACCCCGTGGCGACCATCGCCATCTTTAACGCCCTGGATGTTGACCCGGTCCTCCAAATGCTGGTGTTTGGAGAGAGCATCCTCAATGACGCCGTCTCCATTGTCCTCACGAAGTAAGAGTCTCTTTCTCCTTCCTCAGTGTTTGTTTGTTCTAAGGGGTAAAACCTCAAATTTGCCCATGCATGATATTTACACGGCTTTTTACTATCAGCAACTAACGAGACAAATATATTATTTTAAAAAACCTAAATTGTACCTAAAGTTCCCTATGCAGTCCCTTTCAAAGTATTTGGAGTTGAAAGAAATCCATAAAAAGCAGCATGAAGAAATATGGCGATGGTCTTCAAGATTTTTTTTATATTTGTAATCTTTATTTCATCACCACGCCACTACTATTAAGACTGTATATTAACCTCAAGGTGCGATTATCTGCTTTGATGCAGGAACCACCCTCGCAAACATTGACACACCTGTTCTTCTGTCAGCTGAGGTGCAGTGAGGCATAATCCAACCTTTTAACCCCACCTGCTTAATGCTGATTGGCCCTGACAGGACTTGAGATGAGAAAAGAACCAGTGACCTATTTTATCCCCATAGTTTACAAATGCAGAGAATGTGGGTACCAGTGTGTCAAAATGTGCTGAATGTGAAGTCCAAAATCTGGGACTCACACAGTTATCCGACTAATCTTCACAGATGAGGATTGTTGTTGGAATGCTTTCACAGTATCGGTGTAATACCTGAAACCTCCAGTAATGAGGGAAAGAAATGTTTTATTTAACCAGATAAAAAAGCATTGAGATAAAATCTCATTTTCAATGCTGACCTGGCCAAGAAGGCAGCAACGTTACACATAACACAAACATATAAAATACAGAGAACATAACTAAGAAAACAAAAGACGAAAAGCAGTCACTACATTGTGCACATTAGGACAGTAAGAAAGGTACACTACTTATTACTGCAAGAGCAGCTGGTGGTAAGGACTTCAGACAACTTAAATTTAAAGCATGCTATTGAGACAAGTGCCCTCAGTTTGAGGTTTGATTGAAGGTCATTCCAAGACCAAGGACCATAATAAAAAAGACTCCTTTTCCAGCCTCAGTCCGCACAGCAGGTACCTGGAACCGTATCCAGGCACTGGATCTGAGGTTGTAAGAGTCGCAAACTGGAGCAAATCTGGCACATACAGTGGAAGCTTACCTAAAATGGCTTTATACATTAATAAAAACCAATGCTGCATCCTACGCATAGTAAGTGAGGACCTTCCAGTTAGGCTATACAGTGTGCAATGATGAGTCCTATACGGTGCATTTGATATAACGCAGTGCAGCATGGTAGAGTGGGTCAAGTTTGGCCAAAAACAGTGGGACAGGCAAATCTATAAATGGTATCACCATAGTCCAGCTGGGACAGGAATAAGCCAGAGACCAACCTTTTACGGGATGAAGTTGAAAAACAACATTTTAAGTCTGTAAAGGGATCCAAGAGTGAGTTTCAATTTCTTTGTTAGAACTTCGATATGGTGTTTGAAGTTCAGATTACTGTCCAACCAAAAGCCAAGATATTTGTAGGTATCAACAAACT